ACTTTAAAATCCACCTTAGAGCTGTTTTTGGCTATTTTCATCTGCAAACATTGCTTGATCTATGCAGATTTCGTTCCTGATCCAGATAAGATGACTTTTCCATAGAAGAATGCAATATTATGGATAGAGGACTCACATTTTAGCCGGAAACAATGGTTTAAAGCATCTTAATGATGAATTTGTTTCTTACAAACACACAGCTTTTCACATTGTGAGACATTAATTGAGTATTGGAAATGACTTTGACTGAAATACAGCAGGAACAGCTTAATTTACAGACAATGTTCAATAACTCTGATTTATGCAGTTGCAATGAGTCATGTACTGGTGTGGGAAAAACAATCCCACCAAACAATGTTTAAAATTTATTTTACTTGAAATATAAAAGGTTACAGATATGGAGAGGTTGAGATGGTCAAAAGGTTAAATGCTTTAGGAGAAATATGGATGAGCAGCTGTGAAGAAAGGTTAGTGAGATGGGCTATCAGGTAATACATAACTAATACTGTGATGAGTTATTAGCAAGGTAATGAGGAAGTTGTGTGATACATTGTTTTGCCCACCTGTTCTGCTTTTGAAAAAGTGGCTATATGGTTAAACCACCTGTTGGGGAAGATCCTCCTGAAGTCAAGGGAGAAATTCAATAGTTGATTTGGTTCAACATCCACTTTGTGAAATCGTAATTATATTTTTATTTAACATCTTCAATTTGAAAGTGTCCTTTAATATAGCTAGTATTTCATTCTAACAAAAACGTAAAGGAGTTTATGTAGAAGGTCTCCTGAAAAATCCAAGTCAGATCCTCATAATTTTCAGCCGCATGCCACTTCTTTTTCCTGTTTCTGCACTTTGCTTCACGAGGAACCTATGGGTCATGGCTAAGAGGCTAAAATTGCTCTCAGATGTTGCAGGATTAAAAGGCAGACAAGAAATGATTTAGTCTTAATCTACCATCTCCAGCAAGCATCTTCAGACGAGTTTCTGATTAATTTGGGTGTGACCAGTGCTGCAGCCTGCAGACATATTTTTAATCGATTTTAATATTTTCTGTTTTAATTATAGTTAAAGTTCTAGTAATTCTGTGGCTTTATTATTTTAATTTTATTTATTTTAGTTTTTTAATGTCTACACTAAGTTTAGTTTAGTTATTTTATAACTTCAACTTAAACTAAATGAAAAAGAGAAATTAAATGAAATTTTATTAAATCTTTAAGGTTTTTATTTTATTTTAAAATATTTTTTTATAATAATGTTCTCCGTGGAGGTATGTTGGGGATGATGATGCTTTGTTGTCACCTACTAATGTGTAAAATAACCGCTGTCTTACTGCAAGTAATTATGAAGTTTATTAAGTTTTGTTTATGTGTGTGTCTCACGGAACATTCTTAGTGTCATCAGCAATCTCAAACATGCGAGTGCAAATCATTTTACAAATAGAAGTGTAAATATTTAGCTACTTGCCATTTTAGCCTTTTTTTCAGTGCACTGTAAAAAAAAAACTGTGACATTTACGGTAAAATACCGGCAGCTGTGGTTGCCATAACTTCACCGTAAAAAATATGGTAGCAACATTTTAGGTTTTACAGATTTAACTTAAATTCACAACAAAATACTGTATTTCATTAACTGATGTGATGTTAATAAACCAACATATTGAAGTACACATATCTGTTTTGAATCATTGTAATGCACTGATAACCACCAAAAACAGATGGTGATGAGAAAGTCACATGATGAACTAAAGCTCATCACAAACAGCTTGTCTGCGAGCTGAGGAGGACAATACTTATATATAGAAGGTGCACAGTGTCATTCACACAAACACTAAACCCCATCATGGTGACATGCATGATACTGAAATAATGCAATAAACATTCATTTAACAACATTAGATGTAAGATTAAACCCTAATGTACACAACTGATAAGAAAAAACTAAGAAGAAAAATATTATTTCAACAAAAAAAACATCTAATATGAATTGTCATGCAGGGAATTCTGGGAGTGTCAATTTACGGTTTGTCACTGTAAATTATACAATGACTTTTTTCTTTTTCACTTCCAAAAACCGTATTTTTATCAGTATTTTACTGTAAAATTACATTAAATGTAATTACATTTATTCACCGAATATAGTATGGAAACTTACTGCTAACCAGTTAACAGGTTTTTACTGTAGCATTTTTACAGTCTTTTACTGTTCAAATCACTATTATTTTTTACAGTGTGGCCTACTGTTGATACAGAGACTTTTAATTATTTATTTATTTATATGAATTCCTTACAAAAATCTGTATTACATTATTTCTGCCATAGAGCATAAAAGGTGAACTTTTAGGTGAATACCTTTTCCATATAACAAAGGGGAATAAGGACTGCTGACAACAACAACCACAAAAAAAAAGCATCATAAAAGTTACTGTAAAACATCAGAAGACTAGAAATACAATCACATCTATGATTATTTTATTTTTATTTATTTATTATTAATTATTTATGGTCTTTTTTTTTATTGAGTTGGACAGCCCCGTCCTCATTCATTTTCATTATACTGTAAATTATATTCATATCATAAATAAGGGGTTTCTTGTGTTGTTTGATATTAAGATATTACCTCTATATGGGTAAGCTCTGGGTATCCATTCAGGTTTGACACGGGGTGATTTCACAAAGAGCTTGTAATAAACACATATGAATATGTATCTCAATGTCTGAAGACTATGGCTAGATCTTGGTGCCCGCTGTGATTTCTGCAGAATCCCTGCTCAACAGATCGTTATCAGGCTGAGACGTCAGTATTAGTTATCATCTGCTAAGTGATGCAAAGCCCAAATATCAAGGTGCGTTATCACTGGCACCCGAAACCAGGATTCAATCACTTTATGGTCAATTATGGGTGTAATGTAAGTTAAATTCAGCAGGAATGTAAATAAATGAAACTGGACTGGCCACACAAGCAGCCATTGATTAAAACCTTGCAAAAAGATTCTCAGTTAAAACTATACTGAACTACAATCTAAACCGCCATCAAACAGCAAACCACGTGAATGACTTGATATTTACAATCTCTTTTTACATTCGTAACTCTCTGCAAGTCTTTTGTGTAAGCTTTTATGCCTCATACCGGCTAGCAGCAGGGCCCCAACATGACTGTTTTTTCAAGATTCATTTCCCTGTGGGATCAATGAGGATTTTAATCCCATGCTGTACATTCCCATGATATGTGCAAGGTTGTCCAAGATATGTGACTTCTGACGTACCTCTGCTTTCAGCTGACTTTATTTCTATGATATCTATTTGACTTGTTTTCTGGTTAACAGGGAAGCAGAAAGAAGGAAAAAACATGCTAGTTGAAATATAGATAGAGAGCCAGGGTTTAAACTTTTCCATTCTTAATTATTGAACCATTCTTTGATTATTCAATTAGCAGACAAATTTGAATAAAAAGTAGAGTGAAAAAATGTCAGGATGTCATAGTTATAGGAATGTTCCCATTATGCTTAATGACAGCAGAATAAACAAGAGCTGACATGAACAAAACCGGATGATCATGTTCTCCAGCGTGACTTAAGAAGTAAGCAAGAAAACTGTCTGTACTTTTTTTTTTTTTACTTTCAGTTAATTTGTGACCTAGAACATAATTTTAAATATTCATTATTAATTTTACACCGTAACATTTCTCAAAATCACAAAATATGATTGTTCATATTTTCTTTGTGGTCTCAGACTTTTCGACCCCACTGTAAATTCTTTATATTTGAACTACAGTTTTGCGTGCTATAAAAATGATAATATTAGAATAATATGTATCTTATATTCTAGCACTATTAATGCGTACTACTATAATATTCTTAGCACTATTTTTCATCATTAATATTTGTCATTATTGTTTGCATCATTTGTTCAATTGTTTGAATTTTTTTTTACATTTTTGAAGTAAAATGTATAAAATGAGACTTGACCAACACAGTATAAAGAAAAAAAAATGGTTGATGTGGAAACGTGTTGACAAGTAAAGACTTGAAGGCCAGATGTCAGAATCTGATTGTTACCACATGTCAGGGATGGACGGCACACTTTTAAAAATAAAAAGTAGTATAAGATGTTTGGACAAATTGCTTTGTCCCACACTGTTTATAGTATTGGAAGGTATGTTGGAGATTAAATCAATCAATCATCTGGCATCGCATTTTCAGTTCACACAATATATCATCTAGATCTTCTTTGTAAATATTTGGGATGCTGACATTTTAGTCATTTTGATACATGCTAACAGTTATTTTATCTGCTAACAATGCTTTACACAATGAATATTCTAAAATTTCAGGTAAATTGTATGTAAAATAATTTCTGAAAAACTGGTTGTGAGCAATTATGTTTGAAACATTCAAAGTCCGAATTCTGTCTGTCAGTCAACAAAAGCATTAAAAGAGCAGTGCTGAGGCCAAAACATGCACTGGATATAATTTACTGTCACACATTTTTTAGTAAACATATTTGCCCCAGCTGGACATGAACCACTCTTATGCCCAGTTGAATCATTTTACTAACAGCTCTTGTCTAAAGCTGCATTTTAAGCACTGGAAACTCCAGTGTGGTCCTTTGATTAATGGGACTGCTGATAGAGCATGTAATTTATGTCTCTTGAGGTAGGAAAAATCTTTGTAATGAGAATAAAATGTTGAAAGAAAGAAGGATTTTTCGGAATTAATATCAGACCTCTGTAATTACCAGACTTGTCATTTATTGGAGCACGTATTAGTAACCGATCTTATTTGATAAAGTGCTATTGGCATTAAAATAATGTTCTGCCGCGTGCGTGCGTGCGTGATTTAATGACATACACATGAGAACTGATTCAGCTGTGACAACACATCAGTGCGGCGTTCCAGCGGATGGTGCCTCGCAGGCTGATAGGTGCTCACTATAAAACCTCCAAGAGCGCAACTGAGATGCTGTTCTGTCGCGCTCCACTCTTCTGTCAGCCCACAAACCTGAAAACACTACAGAGAGGCGCATTCATGTGGGGATAAGCCAGTGACGAAGAAAATGTTACTTTTCACTGCAGTTGGATCACTCAGCACTTCTGCTCGATCCTGGATTTTAAACTGACTTTGTTCACGGAGACTATCTGGAATAACTGTGATGGCCAGGGTGTCATTATTAATACATCTGGGAATTTTGCTTTTTATTGGACTAACAGCCGCAATGGCGAACGGTGGGTTGCACCGCATTTCACATGCAGAAAACTTGTACAGTTATTGGACTAAAATCACTCTTTGCATATAATTTATGCAATTTATATATGTCAAAGTTTGCACAAAGCAAACTGTGATTTGGCGCCATACTCTAAAAAATGCTGGGTTGTTTCAACCCAACTTTGGGTCAAATATGGATTAACCCAACTTTTGGGTTAAAAATTAAATAAAAAAATTTAACCCAACAGCTGGGTTAGTCCATATTTGACCCAATGTTGGGTTGAAACAACCCAGCAATTTTTAGAGTGCACTGTCACACGAAATTCAAAAAGTGATTTATAACATTAGCCTTTATTGACTTACTTTTCGAAAGTATTTGCAATTTAAAAACAGTTCGTACAATTTACCCAAGCCGATGACATTTTTTGTATGACATCCAAAACCTTTATCCAAAGGTTTAAAACCTTTTGTTTCGAATTTCTTCGGGGGTTCAAGACCTTCATCATGGGGTTGTGTGACCCCACTGCCTCAATAGCTCTTTCTCACCCCGAGTAAACCTAAGGCTTGACCCTTAAAGTAGCCTACTTTCGATTCTGTAGCCTATAATGTCACCCATATTAGGGTAAATTGTATTTTTGACTTTAATAAATGTTTACCACATGAAGTAGGCCTAGCCTACATTTTTAAGTGAATGGACGTTTATGGTAACATGTAAAATGAAATAGAAATGTGTAAAACGATTAATCGAAATGTGTGTCAGATAGAAAGGCATTTATCAGCGTTTATAGGGTCCTTTTAGTGCTGTTGCAACATGAGATTATTTTAATGTATAGAATTGCCATTTGTTCTAATTAAAGTATTTTCATATGCAGGATTTTCCTCGTTTCGTCAAGATGTGCTCATGAAAAACAGCGCGAAGGATTTAACCAAAGTATCAAGTGCGACTCCGAAGCAGTTTGGTGAGTCTGGATTAAAACCCGGAGCGTGTTATTTCTGCCAGATTCTGAAACCTCGGAGGAGAGCCAAGAGATGTACGTGTTACTCGTACAAAGACAAAGAGTGTGTTTACTACTGTCACCTGGACATCATCTGGATCAACACACCAGAGTAAGTTTCTAAGGCTGGCTGACTTGCCCATGAAATAATAATCAACAGGTGCTGAAACCCGTGAAAGGTTTTTCTTTGCAGAGTGGGATAATTTTGGACAGATTTACTGTGCCTCTGACTTTTAAATTAAAGACAGGGTTGCATTTACGACTGCTAAAACTTTTGATTTAAACCGCCTTTATGTGCCATAGCATAGTATAGAAAAAACAATAGTGAATACATGTGACAACATATTTATTAATATTCTTTATTAAAACATAATTAGGACATGAAGACACCAAAACATTTGTAATTAATAAAACTTAATGTGGCAAGGGTTTCTGGATCGTAATAATGAATATTACTAAGCAAATGTGTTCATTGAAAATCCATTTAACATATTTAATGTAGTAAAAATGTACTCGTAATCAAGTGTTTAAGAATACAATGGTAAAGATGCACGTGAAGCCTCATCCCACTGTAAAAAATGATGAAATAATCAAACCACTGTCTACTTAGAAGAAAAATGGAAGAATAAAATAATGAAGATTTGGTTGCTAAAATTAAAAACAGTGAGCATTTAACTGTATACGATTGTTGTCTTAGAAGCAAAAGTTAACTATTACATTTGGCAGTCTCAACAGAGACAGGTGGACAAACATTCTCCTTTCTGTCAAAACTAAATTATTTCTGGCCTGCCTCCTTCTTTATTACAGATAAGATTGCAAACTCCTTGTGTAGTTTAAACAAGTCACATGCATCAATCTTATCCAAAATGTTCATAATAACAATTTATTGCACGTGATTAGAGAAACTTATCTTGATTAAGAGTTGTTGGGGGAAATGTTTCAGCTTCTGCTACAGGCTCTGTCTTAGTACACTACTAGAACTATATGTTACCAACTAAAGTTGCCATCTTAATGTGTGGGGGGGGAATGTTATATATGAAATATATTAACTTTTAATGAAGAGAATTTGTCATAAGTCATGTTTGTAAAGAAGAACTGCAGCTTTAGTATATTACTTATGTAGGTCAACATAGCTACAACAATTCTTTGCACTTGAGAGTAATTAATATTCTCCGCCACTTGTCTAGGCACTTGTCTAGCATATACGACTGGCTAAAGAGATAGGGCTGAGATCAAAGAGATGCTTGCATGACAGGATGTTTGCAGGAGTAACTCTTAGCAGATGAGGCCCATGGCTCCCTGAGTACAGCTGTTCAGATTTACTGAGCCTCAGAGTCTGCTTTATTAGTTTCCATACAGTATAAATAAGAGTAATTTACTGAGGTGTTACCAGAAAAACATAAAGCCTAATCAACTATTGGGTGGCCTGCAATGAGTTGAAATGAAATATGTAATCAAGGTTAAACAAAAGCAAACTATGCCTGTTGTAAATGAAGAGTCTTTGTGTCCACACTTTTGAGCTGAGGTGTATTTCTTAATGAAACGCAAGGTTATGTGTTTTATTGTATTTGTTATTCTTACTGTCAAATATTTTTATTTATTGATTGATTTACTTACTAACAAACTACTTTTTCTAACTAAACTTGGTTGCCCATTAACAGAATTTCTACATGAAAGCTCTGGAGATTTCAGCAGAATTGAAGCAATCCTTTGTACATCATCCGTCCCTTTTGTGTGGTTTTTTTTTTTTTTTTTTGCTAATTTAATAATGCTAACTGCTATCAAGACAAGTTCAGTTCTCTTAAATTGATATGTTTTAAATCCATGCTTCTTGGTATTTGTGCGGTGATGTTGGGATTCCCAGCACATCCATACTCCATACACATATGATCTGACCTCCGCATTGTGCATGGTTCAGTGTCACATTTCAGACCTCTTGGCAGATTGTGTATGTAACCTGCTCTGCCAGTGCAAAATAAATATCAAACTGAACAGGGTGTTGAAACACTGCACAAAGACTCTCAGCACACATTAAAACCTCCTGGTTTAAACTTCCAGCTTCTGAAACTTTAAGGTGAATGGAGACGTAATATACAGTATAATTTAGAGGGAACAAAACACTTGCTGATTTAAGTCCTTTAGTACATCAAAGAACTGACAGCATTTCTCACTTTCACTGTTCGCCAGTGCTGTAGTAGTGTTTTCTGTAACTCAAAGTTCTTAACCTTTTTGTATTGGCAGGCGCACTGTCCCATACGGCTTGTCGAGTTATAGAGGCTCTCAGCGGGTACGGCGTTCTGCCAAGGGCAGCGTTGGAGGTCAACGCTGCGTGTGTGCTTTACACAGCGACCAACAGTGTACTGCTTTCTGCAGTCAGAGGTAACAATAAAACCTCAGACCACTAAAATACCAACATAGACTTATTGGAAAATGTGCTTCTACCTACATTTTTGCAAAATTCAAAAAACGTGCGTGTATAATTCACTAGAGTTTCCACTTGCAGGACTGTTATTTCCCTTTTCACGCAAATTGTTATTACAGGAGTAGATTATTATTTAATAAAGACTTATTTTTATGTGGTTTCTTGCCCAATACTATGTTATGATCTCAAAACACTTTCACCATAGCACATGATTTGTAAACTAATACATTTTCATCTTTGCATCACATAACAATCTGCATATGTTTGGCTTGTCTGACATAGTAAACTTACTCTTTAGCTCACCTGGTACAGCATTGCATTTGCCAGTCATTTTGCAGTAATGTCACCACAGGCAGGTTTTTCCAATGAGCCTGGATTCTGGATCTGAATGGGATATGTGGACCGTAGATATATAGTAGTAATATAGTAAAATTTGTCTTTATGTAAATAACATTAACAGCAGCCATTAGGTGGAAAATGTAGGCACATGCAATGTAACTGTTTTCATCAATAGATTTGAAAGTAACAGTATTTTTGTTCTCCTTCAGTAGGGGGAGGTCAACATGACTGTCGATTGGAGCACAGCTAAACTGATATTCACTCATCCGTTGGACTGCTTCTTCATTCTTCGGTCCCAACACCTGGAGAATCACCTCAGAGAAAAGGTTCATGTCTATTCAAAAGGAAGGCTGTTGGAATTCCATTACTGAGAGGGAGAAGTAAAGAGCAGAGAGAGTCGGGAAGTTCTTACGCTGTCAACGTGAAAGCATTACATAACAGCACCTACTGTAAGCTAACACATCTCTGAAGTAGCCATGCATTGACTGCCACTCTCAGTGTGACCATGTGAGTCACATTCAGGTGAGATGTCTGTGAGGGTCTAAATTATGAACTGTTTCGACTTGCCGCTATGATCTGACTTCCAATTCAGATGTGCACGATGGAGTCAAATAAGCATCACACATAGGACTTTGAATATTTTAAACTGTTGACAGACCAGTCACCATCATGTATTGTGTTTAAAGGACTTTGTTAAAATACTTCTTGAACAATTCATTTAAAAAAAAAGTGCTGTACAGAAAACTCTACATTGCAACATTGGCTTATTCTAAAAAATATATTCATATTTAATACAGCTTTTCATAGTTTGATACATGAGTATTACGTTTCCTCAAGAGTATGAAAAATTAACGAAGCAGACAATAGGAAAATTCCTAGCTTTCCTCGAGCATAAAATAAATTTTGTATTTCACAACTAACCAAAAGGTGTCCATTTTAAATGCCACAGTAATACACATCCTACTGTATGAATAGTTGTGATAAAGAGTATATGCAATAAAGTATCTATTTATTCCACTAACCAAATATTTTTATGATACATTCTCCAAACTGAAACAAAAAAGAATCAAGTTTTCTTCCCATTTCAAACCATTACAAGATAAGATATCCTTAATTTATTCAGAACATTAGCAGTGAAAAAAAAGCACATATGGCAAAGATGAAACCGGGAATAAAATACATACAATTCATTAAAAAGGTCTTAAAAATTTACCTTGATAAGTCCTACTGAAACCCTGATACTGTATGCTGCTTCATAAGTGTAAATCAATAACAGTCTATTTCTCTTGCAGTCATGAGTATGATGAAAGCTACCATTTTGAGAGTTTCTATAAAGTCAAATCGCCACCTAAAACATAATGGGCCCTATTTTAACTATCTAAGCGCATGGTCTAAAGCGCAAGGTGCAGGTGCACTTGGGGCGTGTCCAAATCCACTTTTGCTAGTTTAACGACGGGAAAAACGGTTGGCGCACCCAGCGCATGGTCTAAAAGGGTTGTCCCTATTCTCTTAATGAGTAATGGGTGTGTTTTGGGCATAACGTGCAATAAACCAATCAGAGTCTCATCTCCCATTCCCTTTAAGAGCCAGTTGCGCTCGCGCCATGGCAGATTTGCTATTTACATGGCGGAATTTGCAAGAGCAAAAACAGAACGCATCTCCAGAGAGGAAACAGAGCTGCTCTTGTGCGAGGTAGCCTAATTCTGATACATGCAGTGATTATTCATTATGACATGTAGCCATTTTTTTTTATGTAGCCTACACAATAATAATCTTTTACATTGTAATCATTTAATTTTTAATATTTGGCATGTTTGTGTGCTGCTGCATGTTTGGTCCCTGTGTGTGTAATAAGCAGAGTGTATGCGCGTTGTGGACCCACCTATAGGCGCATATCACTAACGCGCTCTCAAAAAAATACTGCGCCATTGACTTTAGGGGCCCTATCATACACCTGGCGCAATGTGGCGCCAGGCGCGAGCCACGCAACGCACATACTATTTTGAGGCAACTGAAATAGACTGTGCCATTGACCAACAAAAACCTGATCTAAAGTCTGGCGCAATATTTATTTATTTATTTATTTGTTATTTAAAGAATAGCAGCACACAAATATTTTTAAAAATGAAAAATTAAAGGATTAAAATGTAAAAGATTATTATTGTGTACATAAATATAAAAATGCATAGTCGTTGCATGTATCAGAATTACACGCACGAGCAGATCCGTTCCCTCACTAGAGAAGCGCTCCGTTTTTCCGCTTGTAAATTCCGCCGTGTAAATAACGAATTCGCCACGGCGCGAGCGCAACTGGCTCTTAAAGGGAATGGGAGATGAGACTCTGATTGGTTTATTGCACGTTACGCCCAAAACACACCCATTACTCATTAAGAGAATAGGGACAACCCTTTTAGACCATGCGTCGGGCGCGCCGACCGTTTTTCCCGTCGTTAAACTAGCAAAACTGGATTCGGACATGCCCTAAGTGCACCTGCGCCGTGCGCTTTAGACCATGCACTTAGATCGTTAAATAGAGCCCTTTTGGTCAATGGCGCAGTCTATTTCAGTTGCTTCAAAATATCAACGCGCCAGCAATGCGCCTGAACACACTTCGTTTTCAGACCAGCACGCCCATAGGCGCACAAATGGGCACAAATGCAACTGCTATTTAAACAACGTGGCGCAGGACGTGAAAATGATAACTGCTTCGAGCTGAAACTAGTAAAAAACACTTGCGTCGCGCCTGCCGCCGCATTGCGCCGGGTGTATGATAGGGCCCAATGTGACAAACTCTAATGAGAGGGTTTTTGTTTCGACAAAACTTCCCACCTTTGTTATATTCTAGATAAAAAAGGTTCATAACAGGTGTTGTTTGTGTAAATCACACATGATCAAGCTAAGTTTAACCACATTATAGATAAATAACATGACATTTGTCATTTTAGACTGACCAGTTTATACACCATTCATCAGTTCCAGTGGATAACATCAGTTAAATTCACAGAGGGGAGACTCTCACAATAATATATAATCAATGCAAATATGGATTCATTTATCACTTGTAATCTATGGGACATAGAACATGGGAAAAACAACTCATCTTGAGTTTCAAATCACTCCAGCAGACATTGGCCCACCACAGCTCCAATTTTTCAATCGTATTATTAACTGAGAACTCCTGTCTCCTTATCTGCCTACAATAGGTCAAATAAGGTTCAACTCAAGAAGACAGTCAAATATGAGATGCTTCTGTGAAGATTTACTGCAGTTATGGAGGGTTTGTTCACAATCCAAAAAATGTTGCCATGCATTCACAACAAATCAAACCTCTGTTGATTCATAAAGTGTCTGCAGAGAATCCCAAGAAAACCTGACCATATGGAAAAATTGCAGTTGTTCACATTGACTGTAGCACAGTCATTTTCTGGCATGATGCTGTTGTACAAACATCAGATATAGCCACCCAGCTCAATTTAGTCAAGCCTTTGTTTGATCGTTACTTGTGATACACCCAAAAGTGCGCGCCAAAATAACAGCAATAGCTGGCCCCTAATGGATTGTCAGGCTATTCCAATGGCCAAACTGTAGTCATGATATAACAGATATAACACTGTTATTGCTTCATGTTGGTGTAGTGGTTAATGAAATAATGGACAGAGTACATGACAGTAGTAAAAGTTTTTTAATTTTCTTGAGAAATAATAGTGAATTAACTCATAATATCTTGATTTAGGGAATATACAGTAGTCAACATTTGAAGTGGATCAAAAGAGTCCATCAAAGTTGTCCTTAGACAAGAACACATTTTGTTTTAGGTTTTAAGACAACTTTGATGAAAGATTTTGATCCACTTCAAATGTTGACTAGTGTATCTTGAAATAGGCTTGTTTTTCTTATCCCATTGCTAAATACATTTTTTCTTTAAATCAAGTTTTTTCTAAAAAGAACATGATTTTAACTGGAATAAAATGTATGTGTAACATTCTGTGGATACTGAGCTGAAATTTGCATAAAACGAAACATTTCTCAAATTCCAGCTGGGCATGGCTTTTGGCCAAAATACCCATTTTAAACCCAGAATGTGAGTAATATGCGCCGCTCTTATTCTTCAGCACACTGCTGTGAGGTCAGAGGTAAGACTACTTATTGGTGGGTTTGGTCTCATGCCAAATTTTAGTCATACATATTGCATTGGTTTTTGCATCCAGTATGTCAAACTGTGGGCTACAGCAATCTAACAGACATTCTGTAGGAAAAGTCAAGTAAACTATTGTCCTCTTGAGGATTTGTCTGCCAGGAATTTCTTTCATTCAACTAACAAGTGAAGGTGAAGAAAGAAAAAAGGCTTCTTAGTGTCCACTGGGAGTCATCTCAAAGAAATGGCAACACAATCAAGTTATCAAGAGCAATTTTTTCACTGACCCCTATGAGAGAAAATGTTTAGTTTCCCGTCTGATTGTTTAAAATAAAACACTGGAAACATTTCTTTTTATAATACTTCATTGCCAATACATCTGTTAGTTTAGTTTTTAAGCAGAATGTTAATTGAATTTGCAAGCAATTATTTGAACAAATTTAAAATCAATTTAATAAATTTGGTGAGCAGTGTGTTTTGATCCTGATTCATGAAAAGAAAATATCTTTTGAGATCACTCATTATGTTGTCAGGTATTTAATCCAAGTTCCACTTTTTTTAAAGCTGAGCCTCGGCGGTAATACTTTCACAGACATAGGCCTCGTATCATGTTCCCACCAAAAATATTCACACATTTCTCTCAAAATTTGTTTTGGTTTTGACCCATGAAAAGTGTTTGAGTGTGCTGTTTAGGATGGATCTGCGGTATAAGTGTTATTACACAGAATACTGCACTCAAACATTAAATATTGATGTGATATTATTAAATAATTACAGCTACATATACAAATGAATTGTTGTGTGTTTTATATATTGAAAGCTTAAAAGGCCTGGCACTTGGTACTTAATTTTGTTTTGTTTGTTCATGTGGTAACGAGTTTGTATCAAACCCAGAACAAATATGGCATACTTCACCCTGTAAATTGGAAGGCAACAAGATGTTTTTGAGTGTCACCAAAGCCATTTATTCAAGCGAATGGCTTATCAATTTACTTGCACTTCTCATTTATTGACTGCATGCTGGGCCTCTGAGCATCTCTCGAAAGATATCGACACTGGTTTAAGGAACTGTTTTTAACAGGACTTGCATTCAGGACATTCATGCAGACTAACAGACTTTGCAAAGACATCAGGAAATATGAAGCATATGCTTCCACCAGGGTACTGTTTGTCACTATGGCAATATGTGCATAAAAAATGTGTTCTTTTCCAGCCAGGGAAAACAGACGATGATAATTAATAAACTGAGAGATAAACATTCCAGTACTTCTGGGTCATTGTTGAAACAGGCACTGAGGATACAGAGCACGTTCAGATTTGAAACAGCATCAGTGACAGCTTAAAGTAGATGCCAAAGTAGATGTGCTGCACTCATATATATATATATTTTAACTGGCAACCAAGGTAAGATCCTGACATTGGTTCAGCTCATTAACGAAAAAAAAACATCACTGCACACTGTTTTGACTTGCTACTATGACATCTACAGAAAGCTATATCTTCTTCCTCTTGCTAGAGGGTAGCTGTGGATTTAGATTTTGCAAGTTTTTTTTTTTTTTATGGTAGCGTAAGATGGGGGAAGATGCCCCCTTTAAGACCAGTGTGTATTTACATTTCAACTAATATATTTAGATTTAAGCTTAGCATGTACAGGATAATGATGAATGGAATACACAGAAACATTTACTAAAATTATACAAAGCAGCAATAATATCTGAGGCAAGAGTGTAAGAACCGGCAGTGTGGAAGACCACAGTGCAGCCGAAGGGATGGAAATCCATGGCAGAGCCATGAGCCAGACCGCTGACCATTGTATAGTTGGGGAGGCAGAAACCCAAAGCATAGCTGGTGAAGGTGGAGACCAAGACAGATCCAACAGAGATGGAGACCTCCATGGAGGAGCCAGTGGAAGAGGAGACCGCCAGAGCAGAGGGCCTCTGGAGAGCCAACAGAGCAGAAGACAATGCTGGAGCCAGTGGAGACGGATATCACCCCTGTGGAACTAGCAGAGCTGAGGAACAGGGTAGAGCAGACAGAAATGGCGGAGGA